TGGCAATCACATTTCATAGCCATTGTACCTCCAGACGTCTGATGTTCCTGTCGATAGGACCTCATCAGGATCCGCTGACACAGGAAAGGGCAGAATTGGGTTGTCATATCATCCATCTGTGTGAGAAGATGCCAGTTTCCGCCTCCTCCAATTTATTTCATAAAATCACTCATTGTCACGTTGCCACCTGGCTGCACCTTCTTCTTTTTTCCAACCCCAATCATTCCTTGGCATTAGACTTATTTAGTGCCCTCTGGATCCCCAAATTCATGCCCAAGCAAGATGCTCTGACCCAGCCTGCCTGTGCTGAGCAGATCCCAAGTCCAGGGACTTTTTGTACCTTCCTGCCCAGGAAGGCTCACTACCTTCTCCCCATTCCCTGAGATTGCTGCAGTTGACGGGCCAGCTAGTCCAATAACAAATCGGAGCTCTATTGGTGACCAGTATTGGTAACAATAATAATTACTCCATTTTGAGCTCATTTTTTGGCTCTGGCACAGTGCTCCGAACTTTACAGTATCTCATTTAATACCCACACAGCACAACGAGTCATTTGCAAATAAAGAGCACTAAGGCTCAGGCAGGTTATATAACTTGGCTTGGGTTGGGAGGGAAGAAAGTTGGGGAGATTCAAACTCATGTAGTTGGACTTTATACTTGTGGTCTTTCACTTCCCCCTTCTGCTGCTCCCCCAGTAATGGCTTAATGTATAATCCTTTTCTAGATTATTTCCATTTTAATAGGAATCCTCAAAACCTTAAACCAAATGAGTGATAACAGGGCCATTTCAGACCACCAGGAGAGAATGGTTTTGGAAAAGGAGTTCTTTGAGGCCCCGTGGGCTCTCTCAAAATACAGAGTTGCCTGCTTTTGATTTCTGCCTGTCAGTTTTGAGAGTCATTCTCACACTTCAAAGTGACTCTTGAATGTTTCCGATTCAGAAATCTATACCCACATTTCTGTCACTCCAAAATCAATAGTACACCCTGGTAAAAGTGAATGGTTTTTAAAACAGAGTCCTCATTCCCATGACCTGGTCCCTATCACTACCAAAGAACTGAAAAGGTAGCAATTGTGCATGTAAATTTCTATATTAGGCTCATAAATACGTGGAATTGTTACTCTTGGTGATATTTCTGATTATTTAATTCATCTTATTTGTATGAAAACCTTTTCAGTGATCAATTAGTTAAGAACTTGTTACGTAGCATTCCATCTGGAGTTGGGTCCTGTGGAACTTGCTAACTTGTTGAAGTCCTGGTAGTTGCAGAGAATGCTCATTGACACCTTATGACTCACTGGGTAACAAAAATACCAGGAATACCTTAGGGTAATTTGAAATTGAGCAAGTTTAAAGAATTTCATTACTTTCTGGATAACTTTTCTTAACTAGACAACGGTTTAATCATAGATGCCCTGAGAATACCTAAGAGTTATTGCAGGGCACTGACAGATTAAGTTAATAATTCAAGTGAACACTGCGTATTCTTTCCCTTCTAACCCAGCTTTGTAACAAGTAGGACCTACTTTTTAATGAATGGAGAATGCCACCCTTGTCTCATAACCACCTTGATTATACTTTTATTGCTTCTGTAACTATCTTTCTTTATGGCTCAGGTGAAAGGCTTTCTTTCAGATAAGAGAAAAATGGAATTTAGAGAGTAAAAGGGTCTGTAATCCTATTATGTAGATCTTTGTTTCTCCAAGCTGGACTCTGGGGAACAAAGAAGCAGTTGCTGCAGGGAAGGACCGATGGCCACTTGATTGTTTGGTGGTATTAGCAAAATATCCTCTGGTCTTTCTCCCTCCTGCCTGTTGTCAATAGCTGATGCCACGTGGACCTCCAGAAGTCAGCCAGTGAGTTGGTCCTGCCGCCCTTCCCAGTCGTCCTTCTGCACTGGCATCTGTTCCAACTTTGGAGCCAGGCCGCCTAGTGCTGTTATCATCCCACGTCCACCACTTGTTGGCTAGAAAACTCTTGGAAAATTCCTTCAACTGTAGCCCCATTTTTCTCACTCACCTATTGTTATGGCTATCAAATAAAATAGCAGGGGCATAAACACGCCTAGAGCAAGTAAGCAGGCCACAGGTGTGAGTCCCTTTCTGTCAGCGCCTCTCGTAGAGCTGCCCTGAGCATGTGCGCTCGGGGAGAGGGGAGGACGTGGGTGGTGAGATGGGAGAGCCAAGCGGAGGGCATCGGACATTTGCGCACAGTTCACAGTCTTTTAACTGTGCTTTTAACCAACTTAATTCCAAAACTTGACAGCCAAAAGAAAAAGAACTGAATAAACTCAGCTATTGAAGGCTTTTTATTCCAGCCACTGCCTTGAATCTGTTTCAGAGAAGAGCCATCGTGACTCCAGAGTCATTATCCTGCCCAGTTATCTCCGGGCCCATGTTGCCGGGTAGCAGTGGCTCCAAAACAAAGAAATTGAAAGATTTGTCAATTCTGAGTGACTGATTTGACTTATGTTAGCCAAGAGCTAGGTTTTCACATTTTTGAATTCACCAATTGTCTCTCCATCTTGTGCCTGTGGCTGGGGGAAGAGGGTAACTCCCCTCAGGCCTGGGCCCCTCTTGGTTCTGCAATTCTTCTAGAAGTTTTCCTAAAACATCAGGCTCCACCAGCTTCCTGTTGAAGCCAGCAGGTTTTCAACAACCTTTTTGTTAGTGCTCTTTCATAATAATTTTGTCTGGGCTTGCTAAAGAAGCATTCCAGGCCTGGTGCTACGAGAGCACTTTCTAGTTTCAGCACGTAAGGTGCTCGGGACATTATCCTTAATCTTGCAGAATCCTTCATTCTTCAAAGAATATAAGAGAGAAGGTGAATTTATAGGCTAGGGGTCAAATCTGATACAAAGACATGAGTTTATTTTTCCTATTAATTGCACACAAAGTGTTTATCCCCCAACATATTTATTATATTTTTTCATACAGCGAAGTTGAAAAAGTTTTACAGTGAACTCTCATCTAGCCACCTCCACAATTCAATCATTAATATTTTGCTCTATTTGCCTTATCACATATCTGTCCACCTATCTATCCTTTTAGCTATCTATCAATCCTTATTTTTTATGCATTTCAAAGTCATTTACAGACATCAGTACACTTCCTCCTAAATAGTTCAGTATATTAGAGTTCAATAAGAAATGTACACATCTTAAGTATGCATTTGCTTACTTAATGCAGGCACCTATATAACCCAAACCCCCATCAGTAGAGCATTAGCACTCCCAGAAAGTCCCCTTGTGCCCCTTCCCATTCAATCCCCATCTGCAGAAGCAACCACTTTTGTGAATTTTTCCCACCATAGATTGGTTTTGTCTGTTCTAGAAAGTCATATAAATGGAATTCTTAGTATGTTCCTTTTGTATAAGACTTTCACTCACTAGAATATTTCTGCGATATATCCATGTCATTGCATGCATAAATAATTGTATTGCTGAGTAATATTCCAGTCTCTGAATATACCACAGTTTATCCCTTCTGTCGATGAAAACTTGGCCTGCTTCTAGCTCTTTTGCTATCATGAGACAGCTGATCAAAACAATACTATACAAGCCTGGCCAGGTGTGGCTCAGCGATTGAGCATTGACCTAGGATTTAGGAGATCATGGTTTGATTCCTGGTCAGGGCACATGCCCGGGTTTCGGGCTCCGTCCCCAGTTGGGGGCCTTCAGGAGGCACCTGATCAATGATGAATCATCATTGATGTTTCTACCTCTCTCTCCCCCTCTCCCTTCCTCTCTCTGAAATCAATAAAGATATATTTTTTAAAAATACTGTACAAGTCTTTTTTTATTTCTCTGGGGTAAATACCTAGGAGTAGACTTTCTGGGTCATAGAATAGGTATAAGTTTAGTTTTATAATAAATTGCCAAAACTTTTTTCCAAAGTGATTATACCATTTACACTCCCACCAATAATCCAGTAGCTCCAAATCCTGGTCAACATTAGATGTTGACAGTCTTACCCATCTGGTAGGTGTATAGCGGTATCTAATTGTTGTTTTAATTTAAATTCCCCTAGTGACTAATGGTGTAGAGCCTTTTGTCATTACAACATACTTTTACTGAAAATTTAACATAGCATCATTTAAAAAATCAAGAGGTTTCACATAAGAATCCAGATATCCAGTTTTTCATGAAACATTAAAGCACTTAGCAAGACTGGGCTTGTTCTCCCACATGGGGACAATCAACAGAAGCTGAGTGGTGGCAGTCCCTGTAGGGCAGTTGCCCTATAGTTCCCCAGAGTCCCTTCCCCTCCCCATAACTCCCCAATACTTAGTTAGGCCAGTTGTTATACATCATCACATTTGTAGTATTGTTTTCCTCCCTGTGAAGAAGAAAGTGAGCTCTTTCCTGAACCCATGTCATTATCAATACTGGAAAAGTGAAAGGTAGATCAAGAGGGCCTTATATTTCCAAAAAAAGCGGGGCGT